TCCAAAGGCGGATCGGAGGACCATCGAAATCACATCCCAGATCAGTACATTCAGACTGGCGATCCGTGCGGCCTCCTTGTGTTGTCGCTTCATTGAGGGACTCCGATTATTATCATTAATATTCAACTTAAATACGGAGCTTGCCGTTCGACCTGCGGGCAAAAGGTTTGCCGCGATCCCGATCCATGCAACGCTCAGCACTTGCAGTCGACGACCGTCTAGAATATTATACAGAGTATTGTACAGATAGGCTTTACCGGACCCGCCAGGACCATCGATGAAGAAGAGCCGATCTGAGGCGCCCGCGAAACTCGCGAGTATCGCATCCACGGCATGCTTCTGTCCATAATTCAGAGGAGAGTACGTGCTTTCCCCTTGTGCCGATATATCCTCGTAATCGAGTTCGATGCGTGCTTCTGCCGGTCTCTCGATCTCTGGAACGGGGAGCAACGTTTTGAATCGAATATTGAGTCTGTCCGCTATGTCATAGTAAGCTAAAGCGAGCGATATTTCGCGTGTATTCCCCTTTTGAGGAAGTCTCCGAAAAGGTATGAAGAGTAGTCGTCCCACAGACTCTGAACATCGAAGATCGCGCAAAACGCCAGTAGATGAGCGAAGAAGCTGTGCAGTAATGCGGGGCTCTATAAAACGACAGCTTCTTCCGAGCTTCTCCGAATGTAAGTGTCATCATTCATGAGACCTGCTGCCTTGGCGGCATCCATGAATGTGTTATACAGCACTCCATCAATGGTTCTCAGGTTTTCGAATGAGGTCGGAGCTCGAACGTTCAATAATAGAATTCGTGGAGCATATCTCTCTGTATCTCTCGGTGAGACAGTATAGAGTCGACTGATGAAATATATTGAGTCTTCAGTCTAGTATGCGCCCAGAAATCCCTGTGGCTTGAATTAGTGAATTCACCAGAGCGGAACGTCCCTGGGTATTTTCTCAAACCTTCCGCGCGCTTCATTGTCAGTGTTCTTCTGTAACCCTCAGTATCTGAACAATTAGCTAACCCTGAGCAGTTGTTACAATGTAACCCTTTTCACTGGAACACTATATAAGGATGGAATAAAGAATCCCCATCAGGGGGAACGTTCGCCAGTTACCCAGTGTGTTAGCTAGCCGAAGTTTCGATAGGTGGACATCAAAATCTTCACGTTATCAGCACGAAAGTGCTCCGTGTTCCTAGTGAAAAT